AATGTTACCAGAGGCCTGGAATTTACCGTATGCTCCGCTTCTAAAAGCAGCGTATGCAGAACCTCCTCCCGTGGGCTCCCCACCCATGTGCGGTGCTACCGGAGGTATAAATTTCCATTTAATATATTTCTTAAATGACTCATTTTTCATGCCCTCATAGCATTCTTCGCATGCTTTCAATAATTCTTTATTCGCAGCTTTGAAATTTGTCCCGTTATCGCTGTATATAACGGCTGGTTTTCCTCTTCTGGCGATAAATCGCCTCAATGCCATTATCATTGACGCTGGTGTCAATGAGGCTGCTAATTCTAGGTGTACTGCTCTGATGGTCAGACACGTAACTAAAACACCCCAACGTTTATCGTGTCGCCTTCCTATAGTCACACTCATAGGTCCGAAATAATCTACGGCTGAACATGTAAAAGGTGGTTCATGATGAGCTATTCTCTCCAGAGGAATATTTCCTTGTGGCACGTTCTGCGGTTTTGACCTGTATGTCCTGCACCACTGACAATGATGTGACACACTTCGTACTACATTACGCAGGTTCAAGACATAAAATTTTTGGTTCACCTCATTCATCACCGTCTGGTGATTGGCATGTCCAAAATGATGATGAACTTCTCTAATCATCATTTTAACGATTTCGTGTTTACCGTCTAATACGACAGGTTTTCTACTTTCCTCGGTCAAATTAGACATTTTAAACATATTTCAATACAATAAATTTACTTTATACAATTTTTGAATGAATTTTTATAGAACGAGCAGCAGCAATGGTTACTTATGTGTAGCATGCAAATAATTCCGTCAGCTTAATTGAAGAATTTTAATATTGCACAGAGACACTTCAACTTTATTTATATTATGTATAGAGTTTAAGTTATTACTATATATTGAGAGAAGATCCATTATATCGGCACAGGACCGTACTTATATTTCTGGGATTCTTGTCGGTTCTTACCAGGCTAGAGGTATTTTCCGAAACAGCGGCAAATTAAACACAACAGTGTATAACAATAAGTATTATAATCTATACTTAATAAATGTTTCAATTTTTATGTGATGATAATCTGTGGACTATACTACTGCGTTAAGATGGGAGACGGTCTTGCGCGTCGGAGCCAATGCGTCACGTCATAGAATTGCGGGATCCTGGGACTTTTATTTATTATTTATTGTTGGTACCTTGGGTCTTACAATGGCCGAACTTAATGTCTTGAGGTCTTATTTGACAGTCAACCATTGGAGAGAATTAAAAAAAAGTTGGTAGCTGCAGACTGACGGAAAGAAAGAAAAAAACTAATAAACATTTAGCAATGCTTAAAGTTGGCTAAAAACAACCCACACGCATTTTAAGATCTGCAAAACACGTTCGTGATCTCTCAAAAGGCCATTCTTTCGATATTTGCTTCAGTTAACATTATTCGCAATATTATAAGTGAAATTAAATTAAAAGAAAAAAAACAGTAAAATGCTCAAAATATTTATTTGATTAACATCACCATATGCCGGTTCGTTAAAATATTCACAATTCACAACAATTTAAGATATCCGTCTTACATATAGACTTAGTTCTAAAATACTAGAGATAATTTGTGTATACAATTACAAACAATAAGGTACATGGGTTCACTGAGGATAGTTTCGGCGGACATTTAATGATACAAGTTTAGGAAAATATTATTTTAAAAGTCACTGACGTATTTGCAATAATTAAAACTGTGCTGTACTGCATGAAGTTTAATATAATATAGACATGTACAAATAAATCAATTATTAATGTAATTGTTATCTTACATAATGTCAAAGAATTTAAAACTAAAGTCCGATAATGTACACATATTTACAAATAAAAATATTATTTCAAATTAAACCAAAGAAGTAGTGTAATAAATTATTATTGCTATTGTAAAAAAATCGATTCAGTTTTGGAGGAAGAAATACGTGATGTCAAATTTTTTCATAGGTTTCATACATAGCGATCATAATATGTATACTCTTTGGGTGAAATCTGAACTACAGCTGTATCTTTTGGTTGTCTAACTCGGTCTTTCGGGCATAGCGCGACACCAACAGTTCGTTAAAAACCTATTCTATAAGTTTCTTACAACCCGGATAGCCTCTAAAATATTATGCTATTGGTGTTAATGATGTCACACATAATATACAAGAGTAGTGTTACTGTAGGTTTAATGTGTCAACATTTATAGGATCAGGAATGTCAGGAGACGATATAGTGTTGCTTAATACGGTTTGAGCTTACATTGTGATATTGTAGAGTTGAACTTGAAACTCGCGATTGTCTTTGAATACTGTCCTAAGAGATCATTACTCATATTTATGTCAAGTGAGCACCACCTACCTCAATCATGGTTCTCCTTTTTAATTTATATTATGTAAAAAATACTTTCACAAATTATTAAAAGAATACTGCAACAGTGTAAAATATAGTCGCTAATAGGAATGTTTTGAAATAGATATAGGATAGGGTTCCTAAAAAATTATTATTTATAAATACATAGACATAAGTACAGGTGCACATTTAGAAGTTTAGGAGGGAATTATCAAGCATAGTATCCGTTCATGAGGGTAGGGAGTTGAGTCTGTATAGACATACATGCGTTATAAATTTTAATTATTTTAATTATTTTAAAATAAACTTCAACAGCCTGTATAAAAATTATACAATTTTATATATTGTATAGTAATATTATTAGTATATAATCGACCAAATTGGCGATATATTGAAAATGTGCCAAATTAGGAGTACCCTTAATCAACGAACATGTAAGCGTAGGTATATGGATGTGAAGGAGGCGAGAGAGGTGTGTCTGGATCGTGCCAAATGGAAGTCTGTAGTCTCTGCCTACCCCTCTGGGTGACAGGCGCGAGTGTTTATACATGTATATGTATAGTAATAATTATTTATAAGCAAAATACGAAATGAAATTTAAAAAAGAATAAAATCTAACATTACTATGGCTGCAACGTCAATATATCTCTAACTGAATATTACCGCAACATCATTAATCGATTTAAAAAAAAAACATTTCTCCGTCAAAGTCGGGAAAATTGTATTTAGTTAACTAACTTTACCTATTTACCCATACACTCGATATACACCACAGATACAATAATTACATTTTCTTTTATTTTACTAACGCAGCACCTGTATCTGATAATAATAATACTATTATAATTTAAACATGATAATGAACCTAGTATAAAATTGAAACTATTAACATATGATTAATGAAATATTAAATAAGCTATTGAATTTGTCGATTTAATAATTGTTCATAAATATTTGATTCATATCTAATTTCTAAAAAAAATGTGATACATGGCACAAACGGCAACAAAGTGAACTAGTGTTCGATTTTAATACAGTTATGGAATGCATAATCATGCGGCATGATTCGGGGATCGCTGATAAAAAAAACTTTAAAATTTTTACTTTAACCAACTTTATTACATATCTGTTTAGGGGAGCCTTTGTACCTAAGACGATAAGCGCTTGCCTAAACTTTTTATATATTATAATACTAGCGATCCGTTGCGGCTTCGCTCGGAGATTTATGGATCTCGACATATGCGCCACCTACCAGGTTCAACTAAAGTTAAGAACCATTTAGATGACCTCATAAACACCCCGCAACATTTCATCAAAATCGATCAAGCTGCTTCGGAGGAGAGGAATAACGAGCACACTCACAGCGAAATTTTATATATAATCAAGATTAGCGATCCGCGCCGGCTTCGCACGGGTGAGTTGTGGATCTTGAGAACAGCGCCACCTACCGGGTCCAAAATGTAAATCTAAACATCTAGGGACCCATTCAACACACACAAAAAAATTTCATCAAAATCGGTCGAGCCGTTTTTGAGTTTTGCGAGACTAATGGACAGCTATTGATTTTTATATATAGAGAATCGTTGGTGTGTCTGTTGCTTCTGATTGAGGTCATATTACACTCTATGGGTATGTTCCGAAACGTTTCCAGTATACTGCCGAATACAAATGACGTCATCAATTGACGCCATATTGTACTGGCGTGCCGCCGCCATATTGTGTCGAGTATCCGGCCATATTAAAAAAATTAACAAAAAATTGTGTGTACGCTGAATAAAGCACGCCAGAATTTGTTTTTATTTATTCAAATACAAAAAATTATAGAATAAATGCTGTTATTTCCATTAGAAAGATATAATGATTTTTGGAGCACATAATGACAAAATAATCGCCAACACTTTTCCAATATGGCGCAAACGTATGACGTCATATACTGTTCTATGTTTTGGAACGTATCACCAGTATGGCGTCGATTCGTGACGTCATTTGCATTGGTCAGTACACTGGGTTCTATTTTGGAACATACCTTATATATTTGTTTTGTCATTACATTAGTAAATAGCTATCCTAGCAACCGACAGATGGCGCTGTAGTCAATTTATTAATAAATCCTATATTTTTGGAACAAATTTACTCATATCAACAAAATATGTTGGTTTAGTGCCCAACAAAAAGCAACCCAAAACTGTACCCAATGGGCACTGCGGTTGAGCTAATACTATATTTTATATTTTCACTTCAAAAATCTAGCACAAAGCAGCTTTAAGCAGCTAAGTCGAGTCGAATATTAATATTATACATAGTATGCTAGCAAACAGAATACGATCCCCGTCAGTTCTAGTGATATTGAGCGATGAAGGAGATCTTCGTGCGAAAACCCGCACATCTAAAGTAAAAAAAATCAAGGACTGTGAATTTCGCCAGCACGCATTAGGGCTCACGGATTCTTCCTTGCTCTAAAACCTATATTGAGAGGCCTGTCTAAAAGTTTATAACTTGAAATTTTACTTGTTTATATCTACCTATTTATATAATAGTCATGGTCGAATAAAATGTTTATTTTTAATTAAATAATTTTTAAATCCGAGCAAATATTTCACGCATATAATCCGTTTTCCAAAATCGTGCAATTTTTTTTAGTGTTTTATTTACTATCTGTAGGGTCGCTTCTTTCCGCTTTTAACCTCGAAATCTCCTCACCGAGTGTGTCAAGATTTTCCTGAAAAATAAAATTATGTCATTATTATATTGTATACTGGGCTTTTATCTACGAACAATTATTTGAAGATCATAATAAAATGTTCCGGGCGAATTTCGAACCCGCGGCTCCTCAATCTTCAAAAGTTGATAATTCAACTGTGGCGTTCTTTGTCCATTATTAGAAGGTAAATATTTAAAAAAGAAATGTAAAAAAATTCTTAATAGGTACAAAAGTTACCAACTCAAAGTTCTTTGTTCAAATGAACATTGTTATCGTTTACAACCTTGTATTGTACGCTAAGAAAACAATAAGAAACAATAACTACCAACAAATATTTACTGCGATTATTTGTAGTTACATCCAATCAAGAAATTAATAAAAAAAACCGGCCAAGAGCGTGTCGGGCCACGCTCAGTGTAGAGTTCCGTAGTTTCCCGTCCGTCACAATAAGTGTTCCCACTTATGAGTTTAAAGGTAGGTATCCATTATGTTCGCGCTCCAGCAGCGCTCCGCGCTCCTGCAACTGCTCCTGGTAGTGGGTACTGTTGTTTCCATCCAAGTTCAGAATGATTTTCCTAGAAAGTCCTTATAAAGTTCTACTTTTCAGATTTTTTTCATATTTTCTAAACTTATGGTTCAAAAGTTAGAGGGGGGGGGACACATTGTTTTTTACTTTTGGAGCGATTATTTCCGAAATTATTGACATTATCAAAAATGATTGTAGTAAACCCCTATTCATTTTTAAATACCTTTCCAACAATATATCACACGTTAGGGTTGAAATTAAAAACAAATCACTTCCCACTTTACACATAGGGGGGCTACCCTAATAAAACTTTTTTTCCAATTTTTATTTTACCACTTTGTCGGCGTGATTGATACACATATTGGTACCAAATTTCAGCTTTCTAGTGCTAACGGTCACAGAGATTAAGCGAGGACGGACAGACGAACAGACAGACATGGCGAAACTATAAGGGTTCCTAGTTGACTACGGAACCCTAAAAAGAGCTGTGAATTTTGTATGATTACAAAGGTTTTTTTTTTTCAATTTTCAGTGGAGTGTATATCAAGGCAAAAAAGTGTTTATTTTATATTTTGAGTAAGTAGTAGTTTTGTATTTAGAGTATAGTGCAGTTAAAAGTGAAATACAGCAGTAATAGGGCATTAAGCCACATAAATAACAACACACGTAATTATGCAATGATTATAAAATAATTATGAAATGCGATAGACCCCTAGTACATTTAATAAATATTATATATGCAGGTTGTCCCAGAAATCAACGTCAAGCCGAAAGCGGGCAATAGGCCAAGTCGTGACACTGATTAGAAAAATATAAAAATAAAATTAAAAATATAAAAATATAATTTCATGTATTAGTTATTTGTATGTTATTGCATATATTGTCTATAAATCGCATGTATTGTTACGAGCTTGAGGTTCGTGACAATAAAAATTGCCGATAGAATTACCTAAATTAACACTTTAATTCACTTTACACTAATTAGAATTAAAAACACTAATAATTAATCACACTGATTCACTTTATTCCGCTCCGAAGCTTCGCTTGTCTCGCCAACTTCAATACTTCCCCGAACGCGTATTGCAGCGCCTTTATATAGGGATCTTCCACGAAAACATCCAGAATATTCGAGTAAATACGCGCGCCAACCAACCAAGCGCAGAAAGTTCGAGTTTGGGGGCTTCCAGAAAGCTTAGTTCTTCAATTCGATACTAGATGGCGCTGTCGGTTGAAAGATTAGTGATGTCATTTTCTGGAAAGCTCTCTCTTCGCTCTGTTACCCGACACTAGATGGTGCTAGTGCCAGATGTCAACTTAGCCGCGCAACGGTATTAATATTATATTATGTATATTTATATTGCACCACCTACCTAGTTTTACACCTTTGGTTATTTGGCCGATAAGGCCGCCAAATTGTACTTACATAATAAATCTACTTTTTGTTTTGTTATCTGTATATTTGTTTGTGGTGTACAATAAAAGTATATTCATTCATTCATTCATAAAAATGTACATTTCAAATTAAAAGGATTCAAAAATAAATCTCTAAAACTGACATCATGTGACGATTTTCCTGTGACTACAAATATTACCTATTCGTCAGTTTTTTTTTCTGTGGTATAACCATGAATAACCCTTCTATAAATTACATTTAAAAGTTAAAACATAACTGTCTTAGTTTTAAATAAAATGTTAGATTTTTGCCCAACATTAAATTCAAAATAATTACATCGCCCAGCTTTAACCGACTGTAATGTAATAAAAAAATTACTACATTATTTTGACAAATAACTTTAAAAGACGGCGCGTTTAGTCGGATTCCAAAATGGCTGACATTTACTAATTGCTACTTCTAAATTAAGGAAAAACATTTTTTTAATGAAGCCGGATTTCATACAAGTTCGATTGAGATGAGTGACGTTATATTAACTAGTGTGAGCGAGAAAGATGGTGACGCTACTTTGTTAAGTGTGAGCGAGATAGATATTGATGCTACTTTTATTAAATCATTTTTACTTATTTTGACACGTGATTTCGTCTGTGTGAGTGAAACAGATAGAGGGTATGTTCCAAAATAGAACCCAGTGTACTGTCCAATGCAAATGACGTCATAAATCGACGCCATACTGGTGATACGCTTCAAAACATTTCACAGCATATGACACCATACACTTACGTCATATTGGAAAAGTGTTGGTGATTATTTTGTCAGTTTCTGCTCCAAAAGTAATTTTATCCTCCTAATGGAAGATACCAGCAATTATTCTATAATTATTTGTATTTGAATAAATAAAAACAAATTCTGGCATGCTTCATTCAGCGTACACACAATTAAAAATCGTTTTAATATGGCCGGACATCCGACACAATATGGCGGCGGTACGCCAGTACAATGTGGCCTCAATTAATGACGTCATTTGTATTCGGCAGTATACTGGAAACGTTTCGGAACATAACCAGAGCCCTCGCTCTGGCGAAACTGGGATGCATAGGCACGTTGTGCAATAGTGCAGTACGTTCGCTCTTTCGTTTACTGCGCATCGTTCTGTATTCGTACTGACTTCGAAAAACGAGTTACATTCATACCATGTACGCAAATAAGCAAAAAATAAGGAAATAATGATCTATCTATCTACGTATAATATTTATTAAGGATAGACAACCTTAAGAGTGATGTTCTTTAGCAAGGTGTCCTCGAGCAGCGCCTGCAGCCTCTTGTTCATCTCGAGCGAGAGCTCCAGCGTCATACCGCCCGGGTCACCGCCCCAAACAGCGGCCATAGCTCCGCCTCCTAATTTGGCTATTTCTTTCTGTGAAATTTAATTAAAGACTTTACATTTAGGGTGGTAAGTGGAGTATGTTAAATTTTTGTATTTTTTGTCTGGTTCCAGAATAAAGGTTAGGGTTCACTACACTCACCATTTGAAACAGCATTAAGTTACTATTACACGGTGGTATTCCGTGAGAGCGTGGTCTTACCGCGGTCAAGCCGTTCGAGTTACAATAATAATATAGGTACAGCATGGTTTTAATACTGTATATGTATGTTTTGGCCAACATATAATTGTATAAGTTTATTAATGGGTATATGTATAATTTTGTTTCATATTTATATACTTTAATTTTTACATGTTTAATTTAATTTTTACATCTTTTAACATTTCACACACCTACTTAATATTTTTATCTCGGCATCACCCAAAGATTGACTGGTAGAGAATTCAGAAATCAGGCATTAAACCCTTGTTTGGAGTTAAATAAATAGATAAATAATTGTTCCGGGTATGAATGTTTGTCCTTGTGTAAATTATGTATGTTAACTACGATACAGGAAAAGATCCAAGTGTGGGGTTTACATCTATTAAAAAGAACACAGAAGTTTCTTTATTGATCTTCATTCTTCAGATGTTTTACAGTGGATAGCTACTATATTCATGGTAAATGACAGCTCCTGTTTATGGGAAGTGATAATATAAACAAGAATCACCTCCATCTTAAAATTATACAAATATTTGTGGTACAACTAATACAGTTAGTATAATATACGTGACTTTCATTGAAAACAACCGAATTCTGGATTCTACTACAAACAAGATACATTGGTGGTCCTATGGTATGGTAAAATACCAAACAAATATAGCGTATTACATTATTCTTGCTACTTTAGTAAACTTCATACATAAAATTCTGTTTACACAGTGGACTAACCGCAATATAACCGTCTAGCAAAAGAGAGAAGACCTGCGTCTATCGGTATATTTAACATTCGGGATTTAATTTTAACCTTTACTATGCTAGGAGGTGTTATAAGCAAGTTGAAAGATAATCTTAAGACAAACAAACAAAGAAAGGCTGATCGCGGCATTTAAAGTAATATAATTTAAAAATAATCGGGACGTCAGTCACCTCAGTCCGCCGTGAGCATGGGCGCTGGAAAGCACCCGAAACGTCGGGAATTAAAAATAATTAAAATTAAACGCGATAAAATCCGTAAAAGCAGTTTTAGTTAATATTATGTTTATTCTTTCTTAAGTGGTGAGACAGAAAGAAAAGTATGAAAGAGACGTGTTTTACACACCAGTAGCGGAGTGAAGCAAGTTCAGCTTGTCGCATGTATTAAAATTTTGTAAAAAAAAACACCTTTCTACTCTATGTTTTAGTAACTCTGTAAAGGCTCCACTGAATAAAGTTTTTTTTACAACTATTTTAAATAAATATTATGTTATAAAAGCAAATGCAATAAAATTAACTATTTATAATTTACTCAATATATAATCTTTATCATTAATTATTTAAGTACAGAAATATTCCGAAAATCGATGGCCGAAAGGCCGAAATATAGCTCGTGTTCAAGTTGAAATTACTTTTATTGCGGACATTAGGCTTCGGCATCATTTTTCCCTCGCAAAGCAGGCAGATTTTAACAGACTTCCAAAAAAGGAGGAGGTACTCCATTCAACTGTATGTATATATTATGTGATACTTTAGAAATATTTTCCAGGTGAACCGATTTCGATGATTCGATAATGAAAGCTGGTGCTTCTCATGAGGTCACATATAAATTTGATCAAGATTTGACACTAGTAGTTATCGAGTTATCCTTAATAATGCGTATTTAATTCACTCGGACCGCATTAATGTTGTTCTCATTTTATTTATATTGAACTCGGTAGAACTACTTTACTACTTGTTTAGCTTTGCAAGGCCTATAGGTCCAGGTTGCTCTTAGAAAATATAAAAACCCTTGGTGTATCAAAAACGGTTAAGGCAGAAGAGCACAAATAAAGAGATGAATTGAAATTGTGGAATAAAAATTATTTTACCTTTGTTAATTTCCTTAGCGGCTGATGGCAGCATGTATACAAGACAATTACCATTAGCAAGGAACAGTTTCAAAGCATATACTGATATAGTTTGTGCCAAATCGATTGACAAAAATGGACATTGACCTTTCGGTCGTTTAACCAGGGGCTACAAACCTTCAATATATAGGCACTTTTTATACGTAGTACTTTATTTATAATGCCTTTTTTATAATTATTTATAATGATTGATGTAATATATATTTATTAACTATTATTAAAAAGTTATGAAAAAGATAGCTGTAGAAGAAAAATCATCTATTGTTATAAAGCACTTTATTCATTTAACAACAAAAAGCATTAATTTATAACACATATAAAAGATTCGAGTGATAACGACACCGAATGAGTGTGTTCTTATTCCAAAGATAAAACTTTAGTTTCAATATTATATAAGAACTTTATTTCTATTCTGTGCATGCGGGCCGGCCCAAAAAAAGTGACGCATCTCTGGCTGCTATTGTCACGTTTCTTTTGGAACGAACTGACGTAACGCGCGTTTTGTTTATTTTAAAGGGATAAATTTGCAAAAGCTCAATATGGTGATTATATTGCTTCAAATATTTTTTTTAATATGAAACTGTTATTAAATGAATTGCTTCGTTACTAACCATAAATTGAAATATAAAATATAACACATTTTTCGCGATGTACCGTAAGATTTTACGATGTTTATAGTGTGCCGGACGGGCGAAACTCTCCGGAGTAAATGTTGTCGAAGATACTTCGCGAGTCGCTCACGTCCTACACCTATAGGTTCCGGTGGGTACTCTCACCGCCGTCTTTGTTGGTGCCGCTGAAATATTGTGGACTGTAGTTAAAATCAAAATGCACGATTAACAAATACAAATAGCAAGGTAGTGGCCAACGGTTCGACTGATTGATTAGTCGCGAAATTTTATAACTATTGATCACGGTTGTTAAACTACGGTTGTTCACTATTGGTTGGTCACTGTATATTTCAAAAGATTTCTTTAAATTGTACGGTGGTATCAAATATCTATTGGTAGTAGCTGGTTTTCTAACACTACTGACTAGCAGCTATTATCAACTAAACTAGTTGATTTTATCACTTGTGTAACTGCGGATATCAGTTACCACTTTCACTATATGTAACTGCGAATATCAGTTACGACCTTTTTAGGCTAGCTAACACTTTCACTATGTAACTGCGAATGTCAGTTACGACCTTTTTAGGCTAGGTAACACTTTCACTATGTAACTGCGAATATCAGTTACGACCTTTTTTAGGCTAGCTAACACTTTCACTATGTGTAACTGCGAATGTCAGTTACGACCTTTTTAGGCTAGCTAACACTTTCACTATTCACTATATACTGCTACTAGTCACTTCAGCTACCACCGGATACCACTCACTTCACTTCACTTGTCACTGGTAGTTCTTCACACTACTACTGGTACTGGGTCCCGAGCCCCTAAGGTAGACTTTAGCAATACTTTGCAGTGAGCCGCTTGCCATTTTCCGTTTTGCCTCTTTATTGCATAAACTTATCACTATACAGATGGCATAAATTGCAATATTTTCTATACAAAACTAATTGCTACACTAACATGCTATACATCATTAAATCGGTAGTCTGATACTTTATTAGTATATCATAAATGTTAATAAAAACATTAACATTTTAGAAAGTTATTAAACGAAATGTCCCAAATTTTCATAATATTTGGGCATTTTAATTCTTTAATTTTTCTATAACTACGAAATGCGTTTAATTATACAAAATTATTCCTATACTTTCTTAATCTATAAGCCATATGCTAGTTCAATGTCATATTTATAACTCTTTTAGGACATAAAAATATTTTCATTATTTTTAGTATGATCTATTACGCAGTTAATTAAAAAACTTCTAGAGAGTTCTACGATAAGACGCGCTGTGATTGGTCGATTTTTTGGTATATAATAAAAGTTGTTTATATTACTTGTTATCAAAACGACATTCTATACAAACATATTGAGAGTTATAAATATGCTAAATAACTATATTAATACACGTTTTCACTCAGTTTTCTTGGTATTTCACTATTAATACATAAAACAATATTCTTTATCATTTTGTTTCTTAAGGTTGTTAGGCCGTCGCGAACATATAGGAACCACAGACTATATTATTTAAGAAAAAAAATGTGCTGAACTAGAAGTGTGAATAATATCAATATTTAAATATTGTTATCACATCTAAATTGAGATTTTGTAAGTTACGCCTTTTGACACTCGGCTCATATCTGAGGTCATCGTCCGTTTTTCTCAATCGATTTGGCACGAACTATAGTTAATGTGTAGCTTTACAATGTCATTAGAAATCGTTTTTTTATTTTTGGGAAAGGTCCCTAAATAGCAGTCCTTTTACTTCATTGTTACGGTATAAAGGGTATAGAGAGCCAGTATAATTGCACGCTGGGAGGCATACCATCTTAGTACCTACTCAGAGGTGAGAACGCATCTGGATCCTTCTTAGTTTGAAAGTGGTCGCAGGGTTTGCAGTAGTCACTTACCATCACGTGGACTGTAAATTTGTTTCGGTATTATTAAACAAAAAGACTAGCTAAGTATTTTTCTACCATTTATTGTGTCATTTACCGGGTTAATACTATTACTGACTCAAGTTCTTGTTGTTTATTTGGTGTCTTTTTTTATAGGATAGGCTGACAAACGAGCACACAGTCCACCTGATGGTAAGTGGATGCTGTGACCCATAAACATCTACATCTATCCTTGATTACGAAACAAAATGCAGATGCGTTGTCACCCGTGCAGGCTAAGATGGAATGCCTCTCGTTTCCAGTAAAAAAAGGATCTGCGGTTCTCTACACTCACCATATGAAATACAGCAGCATTAAGCTACTGTTTTACGCTGGTATTCTGTGAGTGTCATATGGCTTCTCTTGTTGATAACTTCAGGAATAACCTCACCATTATGGTGACTCGCAATGAATTTTCCTTCCTGCGTTAATTCTAGTAACCTTCACCTCAATATTTTGGATCTGGACCTCTACCGCCATAAGAAAGGTTATCCCAATCCTCACTCCTAGCAGGTGGATTCATAATCACCTACCGCGCCCACATACATAGGATTGTGCACGAGAACGGTGCCGTTGAATGTGTAAAAGAATTAAAAGATAGCTCGCTCGTAAGTCCTTGCTCTTAAAGCAAATGTCTATTGAAATCGGGCAGAGTAGAATAAGTCGGATCGACGGAAGGGGCTAAGCGGACATTTTGTGCATAGTATTCTACTAGCTGCGGACCTCGGAGATAAAGCCCTAGGAGTGAACCTCTCGCTCACCTTGTGCTGGTCGGAGCGCGGCGAGGCCTCCAAGGTTAAATTATTAAAAGCAGACTTGGCACACAGCTCGCCCGTCAGCTGGCGCGCGTGCTGCCCTAGGAGTGAACCTCTCGCTCACCTTGTGCTGGTCGGAGCACAGCGAGGCCTCCAAGGTTAAATTATTAAAAGCAGACTTGGCACACAGCTCGCCCGTCAGCTGGCGCGCGTGCTGCCCTAGGAGTGAACCTCTCGCTCACCTTGTGCTGGTCGGAGCGCGTAGATACCAATGCTGCGGCGAGCAGGTGGCGCAGCAGGCGCGACTTGGCGCGCAGCTCGCCCGTCAGCTGGCGCGCGTGCTGCTCCAGGAGTGAAGCTCTAGTTCACCTTGTGCTGGTCGGAGCGCGGCGAGGCCAGCACTCCGGCGGGCTGCGCGGCGAGCAGGTGGCGCAGCAGGCGCGACTTAGCGCGCAGCTCTCCCGTCAGCTGGCGCGCGTGCTGCTCCAGGAGTGAACCTTTCGCTCACCTTGTGCTGGTCGGAGCGCGGCGAGGACAGCGCGGCGGCGGGCTGCGCGGCGAGCAGGTGGCGCAGCAGGCGCGACTTGGCGCGCAGCTCGCCCGTCAGCTGGCGCGCGTGCTGCTCCAGGAGTGAAGCCCTCGCTCACCTTGTGCTGGTCAGAGCGCGGCGAGGCCAGCGCGGCGGCGGGCTGCGCGGCGAGCAGGTGGCGCAGCAGGCGCGACTTGGCGCGCAGCTCGCCCGTCAGTTGGCGCGCGAGCTGCTCCAGGAGTGAAGCTCTCGCTCACCTTGTGCTGGTCGGAGCGCGGCGAGGCCAGCGCGGCGGCGGGCTGCGCGGCGAGCAGGTGGCGCTTCAGGCGCGACTTGGCGCGCAGCTCGCCAGTCAGTTGGCGCGCGAGCTGCTCCAGGAGTGAAGCTCTCGCTCACCTTGTGCTGGTCGGAGCGCGGAGAGGCCAGCGCGGCGGCGGGCTGCGCGGCGAGCAGGTGGCGCAGCAGGCGCGACTTGGCGCGCAGCTCGCCCGTCAGCTGGCGCGCGTGCTGCTCCAGGAGTGAAGCTCTCGCTCACCTTGTGCTGGTCGGAGCGCGGCGAGGCCAGCGCGGCGGCGGGCTGCGCGGCGAGCAGGTGGCGCAGCAGGCGCGACTTGGCGCGCAGCTCGCCCGTCAGCTGGCGCGCGTGCTCCTCCAGGAACTCGCAGCGCTCGGCGCGCCGCGCCGCCGCTCGCTGCAGCGACACGATCCGCTCGATCAGTGCCTGGCGCTCCGGTTCGCGCGACTGAAAACGTATTTTACGGTTCAACTACATATGAAGACTTTTTTGTGAAAAGTGAAAAATTCTTTAAAATCCTTGTTATTTAAAACTCGGTGGAACGAAAAAGACAAACATTTATATCTATGGCATTTTGCCTGCGAAAGAATGAGATAGAGTACAGTATAGTGGTTCCTACGATCTCGTTCTCCTTTTCTAAAGGTTTTACTTCTACCGCGTGTGAGCTGCACACATGTTATTTTTATATACGATAAGAGTGACAAACGAGCACACAGTTCTAATGGTGAGTGGATTCTGTGGCCCATAGTTATCTACATTAATCCATGATTAAGAACCAATATGCGTTGTCACCACTGAGTACTAAGATGGAATGCCGCATTAGTAAAAAGGATCTCCCGTTTTCAACACTCTCCATACGAAACAAAGTTGTATTAAGCTACTATTTTACGCTAGTATTCCGTGGAAGCGTGGTTTTGCCCCGGTCGAGCCGACCCATTCGTGCTACAACCATAATATAGATGCAGCATGACTCCACCAAATAATTTACGCTACTAGATTCTAGAAACAAGACTTTCACTTCGTAGTAAGGCGCCAAGGCACCCGAGCAAAAATACTTGCAAGTATGAAAGTATGTGCTATAAGTCCGCGTAGAAAAACGCGTCTATATTGTTTTATTAATAAAGAACACGATCATATAATTCGCGAATAAAATACTTAGAACTTCCATGTATTTTTTTTTGAAATGAAAACTTCTTTAGCGGCGTTGTACACTTTTTTGTAATGGGTAAAAAATGTTAAACTCGCGTCAGGACACGTGACCTGATCGAAAATTCGTAAGACGGATGGAACAGGAAAGAGAGAGACAGCCGGCGCGACGTAGGAGAGGAAGTATCCCCCTCTCTTTCTACGGCGCGGCGATAATGTATGCCTGCGCCTGCTGTTTCGTTTAAGCGGCGCAGGGCGCTTGCGCGATTTTTCATGTGTGATAATTAAAGCAATTCGTGCAAAATTATTCCCTAATCATTCCAAAATATCAAAAATGCACAACGTTAATATTCCAGTTTTCATTTCTGCCGGCACTCCCGGAGAGCAACCGGTAGTTTTTTTTTCTTCACAAAAACGATTGTACTCCTTATACATCATAAGACAACACGGAAGGCGGATCGATTTTCTATGTTTTTAGCTTTGGACGCCAAGGACACGTCGCGAGCAGCAGTTGGTTCGGGGCGTAGGCGAGTGGGACGTACAAGATTATGGCACGACCCGAACTAGACGGAATACTAAAAAATACTAAAGTTACTAAAAATTACCTTGCGTGCATCCTAAATGAAATAAAATGAGTTGTCTTACCTAGCTTATAAGGTACCTCCCGCCCTCCCTCAGTTGCATGCACTATCTCCGTCACCAATAATTCCAGCACCACTACTCCAAACACCAAACACTACAAAGACACACCATCGACGATAATACGACTACACGAGGCATCCTCAGGTGAGGTAGATAGCGATAGATGACCTCCAAGTGAGCGGCGAGATAAAATATAAAATTATATTATAAACACTCACGCCTGTCACCCAGAGGGGTAGGCAGAGACTACGGACTTCCATTTGGCACGATCCTGACATACCTCTTTCGCCTCCCTTACATCCATATATCTACGCATACATGCTCCCCGGCTAAGGGTACTTCTAACGTGGCCCCTTTTCAAAATATCGCCAATTTGGTCGATAAACTTTTTTTCTAGGGCGTCCCTTCCCGACTCGGCCGTTCACATCTGCCATATAAATTTGCTTTGTCACTCTTTCCTCATTCATTCTTTCTACATGACCAAACCACCGAAGCATTCCTTTCTTAATCCTGGTCACAACATCATCTTGCATACCACATTTATCTCTTATCATGCAATTTCTCACCCTGTCATTCAGATTCAACCCTAGCATACTCCTTAAGACCGCATTTCTACAGCATTTATTCTACTTTCGTGCTTCTTCTGCCACACCCAGCTTTCACTACCATACATTAAAGTAGGGACTAACACAGCATTATGAATTACCATACGTGCCTTTTTTGACACATTCTGGTTCTTCATAATAGAGTGTAGTGTCCCATTCACTCTATTCCCTGCATTTACTAGTCGTTCTATATCCCTATCATATCTACCATCCCTGCTAAATACACATCCCAAATACACAAACTCATCCACTTGCTCAATTAACTCTCCTTCTATTCTTATTTCACATACCGTTTTGCTTTCTTCTCTTTCAAAAACCATCACTTTCGTCTTACTTGCGTTCACTTTCATTCCCCTTTCTTTTAATTCCCAGTTCATTAATGTAACCATCATTTGCAACTCAGCCGCCGATGACGTAAATATGACTTGATCATCGGCATACAAAAGGCATTTGACGGTTAACTCGCCCATTCTTAACCCACATTCTTCATCTTTCAAAGTTTGCAAACACTTGTCCATAAATAGGTTGAACAGCCAAGGGGAAGCTACACAGCCCTGTCTGACACCTTTTTGGATGCCAAACCAGTCCGAGTAGACCCCATTGATCCTGACACAAGCACTAGAGTCCCTATAAAGAGACCTTAATGCCTGTATCAAACCAGCGCTCAACCCATATGAGTTCAGTATTTGCCATAACACATTCCTGTCCACTCTGTCATAAGCCTTTTCCAAGTCCATGAACGCACAAAAAACTTTCTGGTTTTTGGCCAAAAACTTCTCCGCAATCATGCGCATGGAAAAGACTTGATCTGTACACCCCATTCCCTTTCTAAAACCCGGTTGCACATCCCAAATTTTTCCATCAGTTTCTTTCATAACTCTTTCAATTAACACCTTAGCATACAGTTTACCCACAATACTAAGCAAGCTGATACCACGGTAGTTTTTGCAGTCCTGCTGTGACCCTTTTCCTTTATATATTGGTACTATAACTGCTTTACACCAGTCATCCGGTACCCGTTTTAATTCCCAACATAAATTAAACAAGGTGTACAGCAGGCCTGCCACCACTCCCCTCTCCAGCCCTTAGCATCTCGAGTGATACTCTATCATATCCAGCTGCCTTACCTGCTTTCATGCTTTTCATTGCTTTCATTATTTCATCTACACTTATCTCCATACCCCTTTCCACTTCTTTCGGAATTTCTAGTTCATTTAATTCAGACGACTCTTCACTCATAAACACGCTTTCAAAGTATTCCTTCCATCTGTTTAAATTCGAAGCTTCATCATTCAGAATACATCCATTCTCGTCTCTTATAGCATTCATTATAGGCTGTTTTGTATTTCCCCTGGCAGTTCCTACGAGTTTCCAGAACATTTTTATGTTAGCCTTCTATCATTCTTATCCGTTCTTTCTTTCTTTTTCCTTTCAAAAACTTCTTTTACTCTCTTATTTAGACGTCTAAATTCTGCCTTTTTTCTTTCAATCTCATCATTCATACCAGAAGAGTTACCAGCTTTGGTTGCTAGTAAATCTAACCATGCTTTCTTCTTTGATTCAACTTCCACCCGTACCTCATCATCCCACCACAACGTATTTACTTTTCCTTTCATTTGTTCTCTTACTTACACCACATACTTCAGTGGCGGCATCCACCAAACCTTTCTTAATATTGTCCCACACAGTATTCAAGTCTAAATCATTCATACACAACTCATTCAAACATCTAATATTTCCTCTCAGTCTACATTTATACTTCTCTTTCACATATTCATCTTGTAACTTCTCTATTCTTATACGCTGTAACGCAGTGGTAGACACAGATGTCCGATGCCGCCAACGCTTGAAAAGACCATTAATTCGACATAAGACCAAGTAATGATCCGTCCCTACGTTGGACCCCCGGTAAACCCTTGTATCTACGACTGCGCTCCTCATTCTTTCATCCACAATTACGAAATCTATCATGCTTCTATCATCACCTCTTTCCCATGTATACATGTGAATCTTCTTATGACGAAAAAAAGTATTCGTCACAAAAAGATTCTTTTCCACACATACGGTGAGGAGGTCTTCACCATTCTGCGAGATGAAACAACTGCTATTTATACAACTCGGAGTAGTAGTGCTGGGATTAGTGGTAACGGGGACAGTGTTGCATGCAATTGAGTGAGGGCGGGAGGTGCTCTTTAACCTAGGTTAGTTAGTTGGTTAGTTAGTTAGTTTGTTAGTTAGTTAGTTACAGCCTATATACGTCCCACTCCTGGACACAGGCCTCCCCTCATTTCTGAGAGGGTTTTAGGGCAAAGAAGTTTCCGCCGCGCAGCCCCAATGCGCGTTGGCGAACTTCACATGTCTTCGAAATATTTTTTATTCTTATTTCTCAGGCGTGCAGATGTTTCACGATGTTTTTCTTAACCGCCGAGCACGTGGTAAATCAGTACAAAATTACAATTAACAATTTCATTGGTGCCGGCGAGGATCGAACCCGGTTCGCTTCGATCCACATCGTTTGTTTTTGTTTCACGATTTGATTTAATAACAGCAAATGAGTAAAGTATAATTATAGTGTTGTTATCATACAAAAAGTGTAAATATATATTTTACTTTTCTGCATGTATGAACAATAATAGAACGAATATTATCATTATTATTAAAAATATAAACAATAATATTGTTACGATCTTGAGGTTCGTGACAATAAAAATTGCCGATAAAATTACCTAAATTAACACTTTAATTTTCTTTACACACTAATAATTAATCACACTGATTCACTTTATTCCGCTCCGAAGCTTCGCTTTTCTCGCCAAATTCAATACTTCCCCGATCGCGAATTGCAGCGCCTTTATATAGGGCTCTTCCACGAAAACATCCAGAATATTCGAGTATATACGCGCGCCAACCGACCAAGCGCAGAAAGTTCGAGTTTGGGGCTTCCAGAAAGCTTAGTTCTTCAATTCGATACTAGATGGCGCTGTCGGTTGAAAGATTAGTGATGTCATTTTCTGGAAAACTCTCTTCGCTCTGTTACCCGACACTAGATGGGTC